GAATCTTGCTTTGAAGCAGAGGAAGCAAAGAGAGGAGAGCTGAGCACTGTTTGCTGAACATGTTTGCTCTGGGAAATAAGACCCAATGATGTTAACGTGCTTAGAGCAGGGGTGTCAAACTCAATTTCATTGAGGGCCGCATCAGCATTGCGGTTGCCCTCGGGGGTGTGTGGCCAGGGTGGGTGTAGCCTACTGGGTGGGCGTGGATGGAGTAGGTGTGGCCTACTGAGTAGGCATGGCCAGCTCTACATCGTTCGCGTCAAGGGTGCCTGTGGGAGCCTCGGCAGGAGTGGGACATATCTGAGGATCTCTGGTGAAGTGGGTGGGACCAGGGCAAGCGCCAAGGCATGGTCCATTTCTTCAGTCCTCACAAAGGGTGACACCTCCCCAGCATGCACCCAGGGGGCAGGGCTGACGCGGCAGGGGCTGGTTCCTCGCAGTTTCTAGACAGCCTTGTGAAGCTAAGACTGAATGCGTTTCAGCATAGATGGCCACCACAAAATTGTACATTGGCTCCCAGCCGGCCTGGGCCAGGGTCAAGGCAGCGGGGGCTGTTCCCTCACTGTTTCTAGGATGGCTTCGTGGGCCACATGAAACCACTTTGCGGGCCTTGTGTTTGACATGTCTGCTTTAGAGAGCCCGCTGGTCTAGAATAAACCTACCTTCTTTGGGCGAACACCATTATATCTGGGGCCCAAATGACCCGTGCTAGTTAGTTAACTGGTTAAGTCACCTATCGCTAACCCTCCCTTTTTAAATTCTTCCTCCAATTTGCTCTAGCTGAGGGAATCAAGTACATGTAGTCCTCAACTTACAACCATTCATTTAGTGACTGCTCAATATTACAACGGCACTGAAAAAAGTGACTTATGACCTTCTTCACACTTATGACCGTTGCAGCATCCCCGTGGTCACATAATTAACATTCAGATGCTTGGCAACTGCCATATATTTATGACGGTTGCAATGTCCCATGGTCATGTGATCCTCTTTTACAATCTTCTGACAAACAAAGTCAATGGGGAATCCAGATTCACTTAACAACCGTGTTACTAACTTAACCACTGCAGTGATTCACTTAACAACTGTGGCAAGAAAAGTCATAAAATGGAGCAAAAACTCACGTAACAACAGTCTTGCTTACCAACAGAAATTTTGCGTTCAAATGTAGTTGTACATAAAGGATTACCTATATGTCATTCAAGGAAAGACAAACTGTCCAGAGCATAAAATATTCAGTATTTTATAAAATGTATACAAGCAATCCAATCAATATGTCTATAAATGGAATTCCCTTAAACCATTTATTTCTATGAAGAGAGCTATCCTACTGAAATGCACACCGTCGTCTTTAGACAAAAATGCTCCTCAACATTAACACAATGTCTGTGGAGATTCTCAGTCATCCAGGTCATAGTTGTCCCAAAGATGTTTTTTCACGAGGCAACTGGAGTTTCTTGTTTTTCTTTGAAGGTGTTTTGCTTCTCATCCAAGAAGCTTCTTCAGCTCTGACTGGATGGTGGGAATGGAAGGATTTATGCTCCTTGCAGACAGCTATTTGTATTGTATTCTTTTAGAGAGTGCTTGAGGCCATTTGGAGCTTTATCTGTGTCGTCAGGGTCACCTTCAGCCAGCACAATATACATGCACACTTCAAACCCAAGAGTACACTAAGGCAGAAGCTTGTCCATCCCAAAGATAAAATACCCAGACACAAATGGAGCAGTGTAGTATATTCACTACAATGCAGTGAGCCATGTGGCAGATCTGTACATTGGGGTTAACACAACCACTTCATAAACATATAGCACAACATAGGAGAACAAACCATCAGGACAAGATTCAGCAGTCCATCTACATTTAAAAGACAAAGGCCACTCTTTCGAAGACAGCAAAGTCCACATTTTGGACAGAGAGGACCGCTGGTTTGAAAGAGAGTCAAAGAGGCCTATGTCAAAATTGAACGGTCCTCTCTGAGCAGAGGGGAAGGGATATGACATCATCTACAGTCTACAACAGGGGTCCCCAACCCCTGGTCTGTGGACCGGCACCGGGCTGCGGCATGCCTGAAACCGGTCCATGCAAACAAGCAAAGCCCCATCTGTGGGATGCAGGCAGTACATGAAACCACGCCCGCTCCAGTCTGCGGAAAAGCCTCTCTCTACGGAACCGGTCCCTGCTGCTCAAAAGATTGGGGATCTCTGGTCTACATCACAGTTCTTTCAACAGTTCCAAGAAGGCTCTATATCCATCTGCACTACTCAAGTGTCTCTGACGACAGATAAACTTCCAGATGGCATCAACAATGCTCTAAAAGAATGCAAATGACCAGCTGTCGCAAGGAGTATAAATCCTTCCATTCCTCTCCAGTCAGAGCTGAAGAAGCTTCTTGGATGAGAAGCAAAATGTCTTCAAAGAAAACCAAGTCCAGTTGCCTCGTGAAAAAACATCTTTGGGACAACACAAAATCATCTTGCCTCCATTTACAGAGTGTCATCAAATACACAGCAGTCTAGTGAGGCTATCCCCAACTTTCTGTGTTTGTATGCGCTGACAACACTTATGCTGGGACTTTTGTAACTAATGTCTTAGCCACTTAAGCATGCTTCTCATTCCTGTGGCTGCACTCAGCATGGCATGCTCTTTAAAAGGAAAGCAGGAATGACTGAAAGCTTGCTTAACTTCAGAAATACCTTATTTATAGCAACAAGAAGGTGCTTGCTGACAAATAATAAAAACCACCCTGCACAATGAAGTATTTTAACTGTTCTCTACTTCCTTATTTAAAGAAGAAAAAAAATACTAACACTGTTGTACTATGATGAAGGAGAAAAGGCTAAATCCCACCTTAGCCATGAAAGCCAGCTGGGTAACTTTGAGCTAGATCAGGGGTTGGCAACCTTGGCTCATTTATGACTCATGGACTTCAACTCCCAGAATTCCTGAGCCAGCCATGCTGAGGGGAAAGGGAGAAGTTTCCAAGCTGAGCCATGCTGGTTCAGGAATTCTGGGAGTTAAAGTCCACGAGTCATAAAAGAGCCAAGGTTGCCTACCCCTGAGCTAGACTCTCTCAGCCCAACCCACCTCACAGAGTGGTTGTTGTGGGGAAAACAGGAGGAGGCAGGTGTGTTGCATAGGTTTGCCACCTTGAATTATTTGTAAAAATATTAAAGGTGGGATACAGATAAATAAATTGGCAAATGCTTCACTCAAGAATAGCTTACAAAAGGAGTACCTTTCAAATGTTTTTAAAAAGAACGAATGAACAATTAAAAGTTTTCAACGTTGAATAAAAGTTTTTTCCTATGCATCTTATTTAGTGAAAAAAAATCTAAAGCTTCAAAAGGCATTTCTTGCAGCTTCCCCAGCCTAGTGCTTTGTCTTGAACTGGTTTTCAACTCCTATAGATCCCAGCCATCAGGGCACTACATTGGAAAAGTGGCTCCATTTCACTGATAAGTCCCTTTTTAGTGACAAGTCTATTTTGCATGTTAAAGGCTTCTCATGAGTGCTCTAGCAAAACAACTGCTAACAAGCAGAATTTGCCTCCCCACCAGAGTTGCCATTGCCAAACAACAACAAAAACATGACAGTTACTGAAAGGGTCATTATAATATCAGGCCAGCTTCATCTTTACTTAACATTAAATAAAAGCACCTTAAAAAGTTAGCAGTATGGGGCAGGACAGAAATGTAAGCAGATGCCAAGAATGTGAATATACCAGGATTACTTTGTCTACTTCTGATTAATCAACTTTTATTCATGCTCAAAGTTGAACCTAATAAAAAGATGTCATAAAGTTGAGCACAACTCATGATGACTTCTGGACATGTCCATGTTGTTTTTGTGACAATACTGAGGAAATGATTTGCTTTTGTTTTCTTCTAAGTTTTTTTAAAAATTGCCCTGTGTAATCTATAGCCTTGGGATATTCTATACATAGTCTTCCATTTAAGTATTAACCACAACAAAAGTTTCTTAGCTTTTTAAAAATCAATCAAGATCAACCATGACAAACATGTAAGTGAGGTTTTGGTGAACTATCACCAACTATCAACTATCATCTTCATTCTAGTAAAGTCTGGGAAATGACAAGACAAGGGTGATGTGAACCTAACATCAGGATATGTTCAGATAAATCAACCTGGCATGAATAAAACAATGCCCCACTATGGTTTCTTCACTATCTCCTAGATGTGTTAACAGCCACTGTGTGTGTTAGGAAAATCTGGTTTATTTAAAGTTCCTGTTTGAGGAGGAACTGTATATGGACATTACTAATGAAGTCATAGTTACGATTTTTATAATATTGTATATATAGTTGATTGTGTTTGTAAGCCTCTCAGTTTTGACTTTTTGATTAATATTCGTATATAAATAATGAACAGGAGTCAAAAAGAAAATGGAATTACCACCTGCATTTGACCATGTTTTAGGAGTTAAAAATAAATCAAGAGGGAAACTCGGAGGACACTACCCCAATGCTTGTCCCTTACTGCAGGAAGAAATAAAGGAAAGTAAACAAAGGCTAAAGCAAATTGCCAGGGAAACCCGGCAAAAAACTCTTTGCTAAGAACTGGGGAAGAGACCTCACCCTTTGAAATTGTGAGCAGTGCACGCAGCCTCTTTTTGTTGATGTTGTTTTTCTTAACGCATTGATTAGATTCAAGAATCTGAAATAAAAGGCCGAATTCACCCAGAGACGTTTGATACGCGGAGGTGGGAGTAGAGTAGACAGAAAAAAGAGCGAATGACGGGAAGAAACAGGATAGGGTTCAAACAAGAATCTAGGCAAGGGCCGGACAAACCCGATCTAATGTAGGCTTCTTCTGGCAGGGAGGGTCTTTCTTCTCTCCCCCCCCCCACTCCGTCCCTCCCGAAAGCCACCGTCCTAGGCCATATTTGGTTGATGGTCTCCCCACCCCCCCTCTTGTAAGACAAGAAGCAGGCGTCAGCCCTGCCCGCTTTAACCTCCTCGTAACTCTTGGTCTCTGGCTTACCTTCCGTCTGCGGTTCCCGAGCGTTAAAACCGCTGCAGTGGCTCCAGCCTAAGAGCGCCAGGACGAGCCAAGGCCAAACGACCCTCATTTTCTGGACGTCTCGCTCAGGGAGCGGCCCGATTTCGTCTACGGCTTGAAGAGCAAGAAGAGGGCGGTAGCAGGGGCAGGCGAGAGGCGGGAGGTGGGGGGGACGGGACAGACGGAGGCAGCTTCCGCGGCCTGGAGTCGCTTCCCCTAGACGAGCTCCACCTAGCTGGCGCCTTCCATGAAGGGGTGGGACAATTGCTGGACTTTTTGCAGGAGAATCCCCGCTAATTGGTACTGGCTACGGGAAAAGGGAGGGCGGAGGAAGGTTGACTGGTATTTATTGGTTGGGTAACAAAAGAGTTCTAAATCAGCTTTTCTGTTTATTTAGGGTTGCCTGCCGTAAAGCTTCGTAAGTTGGGCCTAGGTGTTGCCTGCTTTGGGTTTTCTTATGTAACTATGTTTCAAGGACACAAGTTTCTTTGGAGGAAAGCCTTTATCCGACACCGCGCCTGGGCTCATCTCTCCTCCTCCTCCCTCCCCCTTTTCGTTACCATGTCTGGGTTGCAAAAAATCCGGACGGCCGCTGTGATGGCAGCAAAGGGAAACCTAAAACTCGACGTCACCCGTTCCGATATAGCACCTTATTCTCTGCGGAGGAGATAGGAAGAAGTCTGGGCAAACGAAAAATAGAAATCAGCGGCAAGCCACATTTGTCTTACTGTCAAGAACACTGAAGGGGTGGGCCTGTGCTGTCACCCGGAACCACGAGGATTTAAAGGAGACCCGGTTTTTATCAGTTCAGGCTGAACGAGATGGTGTTTTTTTGCACACTTGAATGGATTCATCACCCACCTCCCCAAATGCAGGAAAAATAAACGCACCTCACTGAAAGGCCTCCCTTATTCTGCCACACTACAGTTCTTCTCTAAGTAAATATAGGAGTCCCGCCATACTCTGAAATGTTACTTTGCATTACTATTGTTGAAGGAAAAGTCTTCATCATGGTTCAGTCCAAGCCGGGAATAAACAAATGGTGACTGCGTTAGAAAGAAGGTGGCAGTTTATTGAAGAGGAGAGCTAGACAGAAAGATGGCTCTGGAAGAAAAGAGAGTGAGCACATGTAGGGAGTGGGTTTTTATACCCTGTGGAGTCTTTTGTTTGGAGTTGTTCCTGTAGCAAGAACTTTTCTGAGTGTGCCTTTCTGGTATTCTGATGGTGGTGGGTTAATCCTATTATGTCTCAAAGGTCACATCCTGCTTCCTTGGGGCTGGGGCAGATGACTCTTAGATTTTTGGTGTGAGGGGTTGTTGATTCTAGGGATCTTTCTTCGTAATCCCAGTTTCCTGACTCCAGTCTTTCTGACAAGATTATCACATCTGCATTTCTGCAGACTTGGTTTCTGTTTGGGACAGATAGACTTAGGGGTGGGTGGGTTGGTTTCTGCCTTTAAATCCTTTAGGGAAATATATTCTGTCTTTTAAATATTTCCAAAACCATTTCTTTCTCGGGAAAAGCAATACAGTTCAGATTGCTTCCTGAGAAGGCTGCTCAAGATTGCATCAAAAGGATTTGCTTCAGGTCTGTTTTCATACAGTATGGCAGAATGTGCCTCCCAGCAGCGTGTTGTGCATTTCCTCAGAATATGATAAGATAAATTACTGTGTAAGGTGTGGTTCTTGAATTGCAGTGCTTGAATGCAACAGATCACTTTGCCATATTTTGAAAACAAACATTCTGCTGGACAGAAACTGCTACAGGTTGTTCTATAGATTGGAACTATGAATTCGATAAATGGACATAATTAATCCTAAGAGAAGGCCAGACCATTCTGCTAACTCAGATAATCCTAGATTTAGAATAGAGTAACAGAGTTTGAAGGGACCCTGTAGGTCATCTAGTCCAATCCCCTGCCCAAGCAGGCGACACTACATCATTTCTGACATATGGCAGTCCAGTTTCTTCTTGAAAGCTTCCAGTGATGAAACTCCCACAACATCTGAAGGCAAACTGTTCCGAACTATCAGAAAATTTCTCCTTATTTCTAGGCTGAATCTCTCCTTGATCAGTTTCCAACCATTATTCCTTGTCTGGTTTTCAGGTGCTTTAAAAAATAGGTTGACCCCCTCATCTCTGTGACAGCACCTCAAATTATTGGAACACTGGTATCATGTCTGCCCTGGTCCTTCTCTTCACTAGACTAGCCATGCCTAGTTTCTGTAACCATTCTTCATATGTTTTAGCCTCCAGTCCCCTAATCATCTTTGTTGCTCTTCTCTGCACTTTTTCTAGAGTCTCAACATCTTTATTTATAGTGTGGTGGCCAAAACTGGTTGCAGTATTCTAGGAGTGGTCTTACTAAGGCTCTATAGAGTGGGTATTAGTACCTCACATGATCTTGATTGAATCCCTCTGTTAATGCAATTTAGGATTCCATTGGCTTTTTTGGCTGCTGCCTCACACTGTTGTCTCATATTTAATTGATTGTCCACTGAGTCTCCAAGATCCCTCTCACAGTTACTGTTATTAAGCCTGGTTTCACCCAATCTGTATGTGTACTTTTCATTTTCCTTGCCTACATTTACAATCATTCATTCAGTGGCTGTCCAAAGTTACAACAGCACTGAAAAAAGTGGCTTTCAACTGATCCCATAGGCATGACTCACACAGCATCCCCACAGTCATGTGATCAAAATTCAGGTGCTTGGCAACTGGCATGTATTTAGGATGATTGCAGCACTCTGGGGGTCACATGATCGCCATTTGCAACCTTTCCAGCCAGCTTCCGACAAGCAAAATCAATGGGGGAAGCTGTATTCACTTAACAACCCCATGATTCACTCAACAACTGTTTAACAATTGTGTTTTGCTTAACAATTGTGGCAAAAAAGGTAATAAAATTGGGTAACTCACTTAACAATTACCTGGCTTAGCAACAGAAATTCTGGTCCCGGTTGTGTTCATAAGTCAAGGATTTCCTGTATTTCAGGATGGATGTGGGAAGTAGATAAGGAACAAGATTTTAGTACCAATATACAGTAGTCTGTTTAACTATATTTGGTATAGTTTAACAACAAAGGGAAAAAAAATTTTCTTTTATTTTACTAATATTTTATTTCAGACTTTTCTGGAAATTAGCTTTAACAGAAAGAACCAGACAGTCTTTACTGCTGCTTTTCTAGATACCTCAGTCTTAAAAGAGATGTCCTGTCTTAGCAATTAGCTGATGCTGTTACATTTGCTGCTTGTTTTCACATACCGTGTATGTAGGGCCTAATTTTATATTAAAACTACCGCACTATTGAGGTCAACTAATTCTCCCTATCTCTGATCTTATTAGAGTACTGTGTTGTTATCTGCTGTTTTTTCAATATCAAAAGTTACTTTGCCTGGCAAAAAAGTATTTGCATCAACAAAGGTAAAGAAAGTTAGTGGGCAAGGAATTTTGGATATAATGTTATGCTTGAACAATGGGAGAATATGTGTATGAAAGGTTTTTAATTTACATTAAACTACAATTTAAAAGAAAATTTCTATAAGAGGATGTATCGCTGGTATTTAACACCAGACAAGTTATCCAGAATGTATAAAGGTATTTCAAATGAATGTTGGAAATGTAAATGTAAAGAAGGGACTTTTTATCATTTATGGTGCACATGTGTTAAAACAAAGAAATATTGGAGTAGGATTCAAATACAGAAAATTCTTAAAGTGAATATAAAGATAAAACTAAAACTTTTCTTTTGGGTTTAATGGAAAAAGACTTGGGGGAGAAATTGGAACTTTGATGTTATATATGTTGACAGCAGCAAGATTACTCTACACACAGAAATGGAAGGACATTTTGATCCCCACAAAGAAAACTAAGAAAAACTATAAACACCGAAAAAAAGAAGGGGTCCACATACAACTTTCATAAAGCTAAAACGTTGAGGCACTCTTCCTAAGCTTGTATCTCTTTCAGCAATGCTTAAACCAGGGGTCTTCAAACTTGGTCCTTTTATGACTTATGGACTTCAACTCCCAGAATTCCTCAGCCAGGCATGCTGGCTGAGGAATTCTGGGAGTTGAAGTCCACAAGTCATAAAAGGGCCAAGTTTGAAGACCCCTGGCTTAAACAGTACTGGCTGGGCATTTTAAAAGTTGGAATCAATGTTGGGAAATGCTGAGCTAAAGTATGAGTGGAAGCTATGAAAAAAATACAGTGAGCAACTCTGAAATAGGTGCCTTGAACTGTATTATTAAAAGTCCATACAAATCAAAGGGGCATGACTTGGTAACTAAATCAGACTGGATCTCATAAGCACTTCAAGAAAGAACATTCAGAGATAGTTTCAGCACCATAAAAAGGATATTTTTCTCATCAATGTCTATAAAGTATTTGGTGGTAGATCCTAGATATGGATTGCTTAACAAGGCAGATCTAAAGGGAAGAGCTAATCCTGCAGATATCCAGAATCTAAGAAATGTGTTTGAGCTCAAATGAATCACACTAAAATTTAATTTATTTATTATTAAGCAAATTTGTGTGGCTGCCTATCTCACAAAAAGTGACTTTGGGAGATATACAAAAATGTGATAAAACAACCCATGTAAAACAATCAGTATAAAAATATAAGAACATTGAAAGATAAATATTATAAAAACAAAATATACTAAGCTTAGGCAAAAAAAGAATAAAGAGAGACAGGTCAGCAAAGGAATCATCTAAGCATCCTGGGATCTCATGATCCCAGGAAGACCTAGGCCTAGTGACATAACTTGAGTCTTGAAGGACTGCTGGAATTTCAAAAGGAGTGGGGACAATCTAATTTTGTGAGGAAGAATGTGACTCTTTTTCCAATAAGTTTATTTGGTTCTCAAATTATTACTATATTTGACAGTTCAACAATCAATGCAAGGAAAATTATTGAAGAAGGATGTTTAATTACCATAGTTGTACCACATTAAATAAAAAGAATAAATCTGGCTGAATTAATTTTTTTAAAAAAAATCTTACGGTATATAGTACTTTGATTCAAAGCAATTGGTCAGCTGACCCCATACCAACCTCATATGTTAGTTGAAATGATGGATTCTATGAGAAGAAGTCCAATTAAAGTCAGTAAGGATGGGCAGGGGGCAGTAAGGAGCAAAATGGGTGCCCTTATACATCTCCTAACAGAGTCACATTTGGTGAAATGGGTGGCACATAAACACAGTAACTAAATAAATACATGAAGTATATATATACTAGGACAAAGCAACGGGCAGCTTTGACGCCCACCCCTGCTAAACGCTCAGAACTAGTAACACATTACACAATATACCTTTCCTTGGAGTTCACCGCTCTCAATGCCCTATTTTACTGTATGATACTTTAATAATGACAAAAAGGGAAGTAGGGCTTTAATCACCTGACCATTAAATAATCTTTTGTATTTAAAGGAATGCCCATGGAGCCCATATTGGGCGGTGTGGTAACTCAGTTATTAAGATGCTGGGCTTGTCGGTTGGGAAGCTGGCAGCTCAGGTGCAAGACGCAAGCTCCACATGACAGGACGAACTCCTGTTCCTTCCAAGCTAGCAGCTTGAAAGCATACAAATGCAAGTACAGCAGATAAATAGGTACCACTTTGGTGGGAAGGTAACAGCGCTCTGTGACGTCATGCTGACCACATGACTGCAGAAACGTCTTCGGACAGTGCTGGCTCAATGACCTCAAAATGGAGATGAGCACTATCCCATTTAGTAGGCAATGATTAACAGAGTAAAATCCACAGCAACTCCTTTATTTTATTTTATTTTTACCTTACCTTCAGGATATATACTGGCTGCATAGGCATCCTTCAAAAATAAACATTACAGTATGCTGCAAGTAAAGGGCAAGGTCTGGAAAATATTTTAGGCAAGCAGCAATGGTAGGAAGGATAATAGGATAATAGCAGTGGGAATATACTGTATATAATAATATTTACATACAGTTTTAGTTCTGTATTAAGAATGCTAAGGCAAAGTTTTTACATATTTAGTCATGCATATTAAACAGATTATGAAATAAATGCATTGCATTTTTACAGATTTACCACAGCACAGGAAACGTTTACCTCATAGTGAAAGTATAACCAAAAAGTGTTAAACCTGAATGTATGGTATTTTCTTGGTGGTTTGAACAGTAAAACAGATACTCATTCTAATGGCAGAATAAAACCTCTGATGATACATTGTATAAAATATCCAAGGTCTCCTCCAGTGCAACAAAGGCATTTAGTACATTAAATTTAAACTTGTGGTTTGATTTTTTTTTTGTGCTTTGAAAATTTTCAGTGGTAAAGTGCAAAAGCTTTGATAATAAGACTACGTACACTGTATACTCTTAAGTACCTTAAATGCTCTGAGGTCACATATGCATCTTATGCTATTAGTTAA